CTCCTTAACGGAACTCTATTGCTATGAAACTCAAATATATTGTTTACCAACCTTACCAAATTCCTTAACAATACTCAGTTGTCATAATACACAAATAAATAGCTTACCAACTTTACCAAACTCTTTATCAAAACTTTATTGTTCTAATACTAAAATAATCACCTTACCAACTTTACCTGATTCCTTATTAGAATTTTATTGTGAATTCACTCCATTTTACCAACTTTGCCCAAGTCTTTAACAACCCTTTGGTGTTTAAATACACAAATAAATAGACTGCCAAATTTACCTGATTCTTTAACAGATATTGATCCTGATTCTTTAAAAACTCAATTTATTTCTACAAAATATATTTAACTCTATTAATAATCTTTTAAATCTTATTGTATATTTGAAGTATTTTTTTATAATTTGTATTATTTTACTAAAAAATTTGCTTTTAAAATTTTTTATCAAATTTAATTTATAAAGTAATAAATTTTTAATAAAAATATTGGAATTGTATATAACTTTTTATTTAAATAATGACTTTAAAATATTTTTATTAAAGTTTTTTAATTTAATACTTTTATAGGAATAATCAATTCATAAAGAAATAATTTATCAAATATTTCAATAAGATTAAAGTTAATATTCAGGTGAAACTATTTTCAATATTCAAAACGTTTCGCCCAAAGAATTTTCTATGATTCAAAACTATCCAAAACCTCTGAAACCCTAAATTTAGAAAGATTTTTCAATTTGGCAAAACTAATTTCGCCCAAAATACTAATTAAAGTTATTATTGCATTATAATAGTTTGTACATGTAATATCATTTTCTTTAACATAATCATGAAGTGTTTTACTGGTCTTTTCACGAGATATCACCATACTAGTAACTGTTCGCCATGTTTCAGACTTTTTCTTGCAACATTTCTATTACACGATCCTTCAAGTTTCTTTGATATACCTATAACTTTATTACTAAGTCAACACCCTTTAAATTTGAGATTATTCAAGAAAATTTTTGAAAATATTGTTTTAACGCTCTAAATAGTGATTTGTAAAAAAAAATTTTATGTTGCGAAACCTTATTTTCTGAAAAGTACTTTAAACTGTATAAATCGATTGACCATTTGCGTGATCTTCCTATGTGATCTAATGCATAAAAATGATCTTTTTTTTCTAGTATTCGAATATATTTTTTTTAATGCTCAATACCCGAGAACTCTCTGAATTTGAGCGAGGTGAAATTTAGGACAGGTCTAAGAACTGATTTATGAACCGATCCGGTCCATAAGAGAAACGATATTTTATTGAACGATAATAACCGAAATGAAAATGTCGTTAACAATCTTAGGAAGGCGTTTTGATATATAATGAGCCTATGGGAAATTCTAAATCAGTTTATTGATTTTAAATAAAGCATTACATAATATTCTGACAATAAATAAATATTTTTTTATGATTATAAGGTGAGTCAGTTAATAGAATCAAAGCAATTTTATTGGTTTTCCTTACTAGACATACGTCAAAATTCTTTCTTTTTTGATAATGAAAGCGAAAAAAGAGTTTTTTTATTTATTATTATTTTATTTATAATTTTTTTTTTTTTTAAAAAAAAAGGTAATGAAATATATAAGCAATGCTAATTTATTTTATAAATGCATTTCTTTTGGATAAATATTTTATTGATGCTAAAAAAAAATTTACTCGTTAAAATTACAAAAAATATAGGAAATGTTATTTACAACTCAATTTTAGCCAAACAATTTCATTTATTTATTTATATATATTTTTTTGTTTAGAGAAAAATTAAAATTTAAAAAAAGAATAATAACAATAATTAATGCAACTTATTAGATGGAGAAATATATTTATTTCACCTTTATTTATGTTATAATGACGACTAATTTTATTTTTAGCACACATTTTATTCCCAATCATATTAAATATATGTTAATAAGCAGTCATTAGAAAAGGTAAAATCTAAATTTTGATAAATCTTTGTGATCACACATACATTCATGTGCTTAAAATTAGCTTAAGAACTCAAATTAACAAAAATTTTAGATTTCCCCCTTTTTTACTAATGCCTCGCTGTTAACGTTACTCTTTTCGTCGAATAAGTTAACTATGATTTGAAGTTAGGGAGGCAATAGCTATAACTTAAATCCAATCAACTTGACACACTATTTATTAGAGTTTATTTGGTTAACAAGAAATAAATTATAAGTTTTATGTTTGCAAAATGTTAAATGTGTTTATTATTGTTATTAAATGTATTTTTAATACAATGTTAAGAACTTGTAGGAATCTGTTTCGAATCTGTCCTTTTTCCAAGGCATTTTCATACCCTTTATATAAGAAAATACAATTAAAGAAAATCTATGGTATTTATGATACTACTGACAATAATAACAGAGCTAACAGATATGCTAATTATATTAAATATGTTATAAATGATAATAATGATATAAAAAATAGAAATATAATAAATATTAAGTATGTTCTATTTGACAGATATGGCAGATTTGGCAAATTTGTCTTATGTGACTATCCTGTCAGTTTCTGCCAGTTTCATCGCTATAGTTGATATCCATACCCTTTCTTTTAAAATCTCATCTCATCCTATCCTATCCTATCCTATTCCAATCCCAATCCCAATCCAAAATCCCAATCCCAATCCCAAATCCCACCCAAATCCCATAATTCCAATCCCAAATCCCATAATCCCAAATTCTAAATTTCAAATTCTAATGTTAGTATTATTTAAATTAATCATTTATAATACTTACAAATATTTGTAATTAATTAGTATTAAAACTAAATTTAGTTAATTAATTTATATTTATTATAATATTTATTAACAATCTTAATTTTTTTAAAACTATTATTTTATTACTAAAATTAAGATTTTAAATTTTCTACCATTTCATCAATATCAAAATCTAGATCTCCATGATCAATTCTAATTTCTTCTTCTTATTTATCAGAATTAATATTATCTGCATTTAATATACTTGCTGATAAATCAATATAATTAATGATTTCTAAATTATCATTATTTAATTATTCTATATCTTCAATTTCATCATATTCAAAAGTAAAATTTGTTTCAAATTCTTCATTATTTTCAAATAAATCACTTTCATTTGCTATTGCTAATGCAAAAGTTTCATCAAGAGTTTCTAAAGAAATATTTTCATTTAAAAACTTTAATTCTGATTTTGCATTTATTACAAGATATGAATGCATTTGTATCATTGCTTGAAGTCGTTCTATTTTAATTCTAAAATATATTAAGTAATTTAAGTAATAATAATTAAAATTTTAATAATATAAATTTTGTTAAATTACCTAGTACGCCGTTTGCTAAGATACCATTCTAAGATTGAAAATACACGCTCACATGTTGCATTATGAGGAATAATTGCATGCATTTGAAGTGCAAGCTTTCTAATATGATCTTCTCCTTTCTTTAATTCTATTGATGTCCACCAATTTGTAGGAGTATTAATACCTTCAACATATAGATCATAAAAGGATAATCATGATTTCGATATAAACCAAATTGAGTAAGTAAAATATCAGCACTTAATCTTCCACCACCTTGATTTTTCCAAAGATTTATTGCAGTTTTTGATACTTTTTTAAAAATTGTTGGTTGAAAACCAGATGCTGAATAAAACAAATAAATAATTAATATAATTAAAATATTTAATAAAATAAATAAAGTTTTAATATTTTACCTCGATATTTAGGATGAAGAAAAAATGCTAGCATATATATATCAACATTAAATTCTTTCCATCTTTTATTAAAAATAGCAATACACCTTTTTTTAAATTCTAAATTTTGAAATGTAATTTCTGCTATTGCATATGCTATTTTAATTAATTTAAAAAAGCAATCAGCTAATGTAATTATAGTAAATTCAAAAACTTTTATAGCATTCTTTGCAAGACATAAAATTGTTTTTAATTGTTCAACATCATATCAAAATTGTCGATTTTGAATGATTGCTTTAACTTCAATAGCTTTAACAAAAATAGTTGGTTGTTCTTCAAAAATCTTTATTAATTAAATAAAAAAATATTAATATATAAACTAAATTTATAAAGTAAATTTAAAAAACAATATATTAAAAATACTTACAAGTTTAATACAATTTTCTAATATTAAAATTGAATCACAAACATCCTAAGCTGTACTCCAATGAGTTTTAACTGAAGATTTTAAATTTTCTCCAAAAATTAAAGAAGTAATAATTCATCTCGTAAAGCTGCACCAGCTCGATGTACACTATGAAAAAATGTTACAATTCACTAATATTTTTGAAGTGTTTTTTTAGCCCATTTAACAGTAAAAATATCCTTTGTAACTAAATTTATACAATGTGCAATACATCTAACTGCTATAATATGTTTATATTTATTTGTAAATCATCTTTTTGCTGATTGCATTACAGGTTTAGCATCAGTAACAACAGCTATAAACTTATCTTGACCTATAAATTCAATTACTTTAAGTATTTGTTCTTCATTAAATGCAGCAGTATGTTAATCAGAAGAAAAGTCATTAATAGAATATATGTATTGATGTCAAGTAGAAGTAATAATTATAAATGCATATATATAATATCCAAGAGGACTAGTCCATGAGTCAATTCCTAATAATATATTAAAATTTTTATTAAATATTTTTTAATTCTTGACAAATAAGATAAAATAATATAATAAAATTCTTACCTAAAGTTAGATTTTTTGCTTATCGTAACTCTTCAATTTTTATTGCAATATTTACTATCTCAGCATCTAATTGTTGATTAGATAATGCTAATCATTTTGGTAATTCATATCCATAATATAAACTCTTTGTAAAATCTCGAAAAAAGGAGATTCTACAACAGAAAATGGGATTTCACAACAAACAAAAAATCAAACTAAAGCCTTATGAATTCGTAAGATTTTTATTTCATCAATTTTATCACTATCAAAATAGTTGTATAGGCTATTTTTATCGTCTAATTTTGTCTTTTATTGGTTGATTTTAAAATATCATCACTTTTAATTATACGTAAATATTCAAGTTTTACATCATGTGTAATCATAGAATATTTAAGAGCTAAATGTGCCTTCATATCACTTGGTTTTTCTCATTTCCAAGTTTGATTACAAAATTTACATTGAGCTGATTTATGAGAACTATTTGGAATATCGATTGAATTAAAATGTT